AGGATGATGATGTGATTCAGTGGTGGTTTGAAGATGAAAACACTTTAATAGCAGAAATCGATAAACGGGCCGACAGATTTACTGTATATGATGATGTTCTTGATGGGAGATTCAGAGACAGACTGAAGCTGGACAATCAAACTGGATCTCTGACCATCACACACACCACAACTGAACATGATGGAGGTTATAAACTACTGATCAACAGTGAGATCAAGAGATTCAGACTCAATGTCTACGGTGAGTCAAATATTTCGATTGAGCTGTTTTATATTTTAATCATCATGTCAGCGAGTAAACCTTTTGAGTGATACGGTCCTAAATTTGGGATTTGGAATGTTCAGTGATGATGTCACATAACTGTCAGATTTAAACTGTTCATACAATTTGAACTGCGGCACAAAAAACATGGCGACGCCCATCTCAAATTTTAAATCAAGAACATGACGCTTCGCCATGGAAACAATAAGCGGGAAACCTTCTAAAATAAATGACGCCTTCAAAAAGAAAAACAAAATTCACCCAGTCAGAATTAGTGATGGGCGATACCACTGATTTTGTTTTCGATACGATACTGATACTTTCAATGCCAGTATCGCCAATACCGGTACCAATACGATACCTCTAAACCAGGCGCGGAGTTTGCGGGGGAGCAGGGGGAGCGTTGCCCCCCCCGGTGGCTGAAACGGGTAATCGCATTTTCTTAAAAAGGCTGTAAAAAAACTACCAACCCCAATCTCTTTAAGTTATCGCTCACTCGGTCGATTGTGTCATCTAACTCTGAGAGAAGCTTTTCTGCGATAAATGGGCGTCAATTTGAAATGTGCTGGGGACAGAGACGTACTCGAAAGGGCATTTTCACAAGTGCTGGGTACATTCTTTTTCTCTCTTTCGAGTAGGTCATGTTTTGAAAGACGATGTTCTGTAGCTCCTGATGTACATAAATAAAATTGAGCACAATGTCCGAGTATAGTGAGTATAAAGTATACGCCCTTTATTGCATAAATAAAAATGAGCACAATGTCAGAGTATAGCACTTTTTTCATGTGTATAGTGAGTATATAAAATATATACTCCCTTTTTCGTGTATACAGTGATGGTCCAGATCCAGGACTCGGGAGGTTCGAGGTTCTAATCCGCACTCGTAAAGTTTTTTTTTTTCCCCTCATCAAAACCAATAGGTAGCCTAATCCCGTGTCTTAAATTTTTTTCAATGATTCATGAAGTATAAATGCGAAATTTAACTAGTTTTTTAATCATTATCATTGCCAGAATGTGTTTTGAAAAAAGGAAAGAAAACTTTAAGGTTGAAGATAATATTTTAACAGTGCAAAAGTGGTCCACATTTCATGATCCTATAACGAAGATGCGACGCGAAGTGGCTGTTAATGCGAAGTTCTAGCTGTTTACAATGACATAAAGGCAATAAAATATCAGTGTATTGTTTTACTGTTTTTTCTTGGGATAAAAATAAATATGTGTTTATTTAGCATGTTTTTTTTTTGTTTTTTTTTTTTTCCCCCCCTGGCTCGAATGTCAAACTCCGCCTATGCTCTAAACTGAACTTTTGATTTTGAAAATGTCTTAAATTATTGAATTACTAATTAATGATACCCATTAAACATTATAGAGCTCGAGAAACCCGGAAAAAAACGTGAGGGTTGACAGCTAACGTTACTAACTACACTTTTGAAACACATAAAATTGATTAAAAAAAAATTAAACTCTCTTTTTGTTGTTTTATGATATTATTTCAGTCACTCTAAACTCTGATAGTAATAGTATTTTACAGTCAGGATTGTGAAAAGCATGCGATGTTTGATAGAGAGCAACGCAGTGTTTACAGAAGCGGCTAATATGATGTCACTTCCTGGTTCTAGTAAGAGCTCGAACTGCTGGAGTTTGTTTGGTAACGCTTTAGATTACAGCCCGCAAATAAAACTAATTTACATTGTAACTTTCTGAAATTATAGTGTACCTACAACATGTAAAGTTTTAGGAATAAAGGAGTAATAACCAGAAGAATTAACAAATGATTTATACTGTAAGAACTAAGGGTTTATTATTCTACTACACAATCTTACACTGCAAACCTTCTTGTAATAATAGTATATTCCAAAACATCGATTTTATACAAATTATAGGGTTCATATCTGCATTTATACTTTCTTTAAACAAAAGTGCTCTGAGAACTAAAACTATTGCAACTTTTGCTTTAATACTGGAGAAATAAACTCTTGTTCATGTAGTTACGGAGTCAGTGTGACGTCTGCGACCTGTACATTAGTGTTGCTTGTTACTCTTTTGTTCCTTAATACTAAAACTTTCTTTTCTTTATTATTTTCTAGTCTATATCTATATCTGGTCAATTTTTGTTATTTTTCCATGTATAAATCTTTTGTTCATCATTGTTTATCTTTGCACTGCTGCAGAATATTATTAATTTTACATTTAAATGATTAAAAGTATTTTAGTGAAGCTTCATCAAACCAACATCAAGAGATTTTAAAGCTTTAATCTGTGAAAAACTCTGTTCTTCAGGAGGGGTTCGCAATTTTAGGCCACTGTCAGTGTCAGTGATTGAGGGAGATTCAGTCTCTCTAAACTCTAATCTCACTGAAATAATGGATAATGATGCGATTCAGTGGAGGTTTGAAGATGGAAAAACTTTAATAGCAGAAATCAATAAACGGGCCGACAGATTCACTGTATATGATGATGTTCTTGATGGGAGATTCAGAGACAGACTGAAGCTGGACAAACAAACTGGATCTCTGACCATCACAAACATCACAACTGAACATGATGGAGTTTATAGACTAAAGATCAACAGAAAGATCAGAGAAAGTTTCAGACTCTATGTCTTCGGTGAGTTTAATATCAGTTTCACCTGTTTTATATTTTAATCAGATACAATTAATAATTCAAACTCCATTTTGCTTTTGGTGTTTAATAATGATATTCATTTAAATCTAAAATTTAAAACTATTTACTTTTATAAACTATTAACTGATCATCTTAATCTGTGACAAACTCTGTTTCTGTTTATTCTCTCTCTCTCTCTCTCTCTCTCTCTCTCTCTCTCTCTCTGTGTGTGTGTGTGTGTGTGTGTGGTGATTTAGGACTGAAGTCAGTGATGGAGGGAGATTCAGTCTCTCTAAACTCTAATCTCACTGAAATAAAGGATGATGATGTGATTCTGTGGAGGTTTAGAAACACTTTAATAGCAGAAATCAATAAACGGGCCGACAGATTCACTGTATATGATGATGTTCTTGATGGGAGATTCAGACACAGACTGAAGCTGGACAATCAAACTGGATCTCTGACCATCACACACACCACAACTGAAGATGCTGGATTTTATCATCTACGCATCAACAGTAAGATCAAGAGGTTCATTGAAGGAAGGAGGTTTATTCTCGCTGTCATTGGTGAGTTAAAAAAATGTTTCCACCTTTCTTTAATTACACAATAAGAGCCCGATGTGACGTTGGTGTCACAAACACTGGTGATCATCTGAAAAGGTTTTTTTTAAGCATTATACCTCATTTTCAAACCAGGAAGTCCCTATGGGACAATTAGGGAACACCCAGGTTCAGTCATGTGACAATGTGTGCATTTTTGTTGCCACAGTAACATTTCCAAAATGGTGGTCTGTCTGATGTGCACATGTTGCAGTGTCAGCAATTAAAAAAAAACACTTGTTTTTGTAATTAAAGGTATGTTTCAACACATGCAACAATTCTAATGTTTTAATAACATAACCTAGATTACACTTGACCTGATTTTCAAACATGTCTTGTACAAATTTATATAAAACAAGTATTGAAAATGTTGTTGTGACATATGTCACATCGGGCTTTAACCTGTATGTGTCACATTAAGAAAAATGGTCCTGACCATTTTTTCACCAGAAAAATGACCTGCTCAAATAATTTAGCTGATACAATTATTTTAGTGTTATATATATTCTGCTGCTCAGTTCAAAGCAAAAAAAAAAGTCAAATTAATAACATTGTTAAAGGGCAACTCAACCCCTGGTCAGAGCCTGACTCCACCCACTGGCAATATTTGAGAAATGCTGGAAAAGTGGTCAAGACGGGTCTCTCTGTAGGCAGGGGTGTGGTTAGCTTGTGCCTGCTTACATCACAGGGCACCACAACTTCCAATAGGAAAATTCAACTGCAGTAGCCACCGTTCAACCTGAAGAGGGCAGCACGTTTTTACACCATATATTGTAGAATTAAAACACTTTATACCCAAATGTCCAAATTCAATGAACAGCAATAATAAAGCCCCAGTCTTACAGATCACTAAAAAAACAAAAACTAACTAAAAAAAGTTGTTTTAGGGTTTACCCTTTAATGAAATTAAACTAAAGCAGGTATGCAACATATGGTATAAAACACCATATTTATTTTTATTCAGTTTGCACATTTTCGAGTTGTGAAAAAACAATCTAAAAAACTGTTTAAACTGTATATATACCTGAAGAGGTCACAGTTATGTGGTTTTGAAATATGTGGCAAAGCAAACAAAATGCTTTTTTTATCTTCCCAGAAAAGTTATAATTTTGAAAATGTTGTGGAAAAGAAAATAATCCAAAAAAAAGTAATTTAGCAAGAAAACTGACAAAATTTATTTATTTTCCAAATGAGAAATAAAAGCTCAATGTGACATATATGTAACATAAATAAATGCCCAATGTGACATAAACTGTATGTGTAACATTACAGATCTTTGATAAGGAGTGGTTGTATTTAATTTAAATGGTCCATATAGTCTGTTTTATATGACCCATAATTTTCCTAAGGGGAAATTGGTCCGGGTTCTTATGGGTTAAACAAATTCATACACCATTTTGTTTTTGTTATTTTATATTGTTTATTGTTCATGTAAATTTTAAACCATTCCCTTTAATAAATTATTATAAAGTGATTTAACAGTATTAATCTGTGACAAACCCTGTTTCTGTTTGTTCTCTGTGTGTTTGACAGATGAAGTGAAGTCAGTGTCAGTGATGGAGGGAGATTCAGTCTCTCTAAACTCTAATCTCACTGAAATAAAGGATGATGATGCGATTCTGTGGAGGTTTGAAGATGGAAAGACTTCAATAGCAGCAATCAATAAATGGACCGACAGAATCGCTGTATATGATGATGTTCTTGATGGGAGATTCAGAGACAGACTGAAGCTGGACAAACAAACTGGATCTCTGACCATCACAAACATCACAACTGAAGATGCTGGAGATTATAAACTACTGATGTTTTCAGGAGGAAGATTATCATCAAAATTATTCAGAGTTTCTGTCTATAGTGAGTAGAGATCATTTGTCTTCTTCAAATATTCTTATTAACAATTAACATATTGAATTGTTGAATCGTTTATAGTTTGAGATGACAGACCGTATAAAAATCTCACTTGGAACCGAATATATTATTTTTGATTAGATTTGATCATATTTCTGTGTATTCATAAATATCAAATCAAATCAAATAATTTTATTGTCACACAACCATATACACAAGTGCAACAGTGGGTGAAATTTTTGGGTGCAATTTCGAGCCGCATGTAGCAGTCATGAAATGATGGACGTATTTACAGTTTACAGTAAACATCCGATAGATTTACACATCTAATGTAAATTACTCACCATATACATAAACAATAAACAATACACAATATACAATATACAACATACAGAATACAAACACAAAGACAGTCCGGATGGTTTCGATGGTTCTGGTGTAGAACTGTGTGGCGGTTCGTTCCAAACTTCCTCAGCCGAAGAACAGGTGCGGATGAGGCTTCTTCACGATGGCCTCGGTGTGGACGGACCATGTGACACTGAGGAACTTGAAACTGCTGACTCTCTCCACCGGTGCGCCATTGATGCTGATCTCTGTCGTTCCTCCTGAAGTCGACCACTAGCTCCTTGGTTTGATGATGTTGAGGGAGAGGTTGTTATCCTGACACACAATGTGTCAGAGATTAGTTATTATTAGTTAATATTAGCTGTCAGCGCTGATATTAGTGTTTATTGACTGATCTGATGTCAGTTTGATGTGTTTATTCCTCAGACTCTGTCCACTGGTGTGATCCCACTGAAGCTGTGATCCGATTGGTCCTCTCTGCTCTGGTGGGCGTGGCTACTGTCAGCATTCTGGTTTATGACATCAGATCCAGAAGAGCTGAATGAGATCAAGCACATATTCACACATCAGGTGCATGATTGATGATGTCATTTCTCACAAACTGATTTGCCAAATATATATTTGTGAGGTTTATTAATTTTTGGCTTTATATTTTTTTTATCTTTTCTACTGAAATCTAAAGCAGAACGCTGAACTTTAAAGGTTCTTCAAGTGTGTTATTTGTTCTTCTAGTGTTTTTTTTTCATAATAAATACTGAATAAATGAGCTTGACGATTTTTGAGGTTTAAAAAACATCTTATTTGTAAGGCTTTATTGTTAATATTTCTCTCAGATACAAAAATAATAATAAAGAGACACAGATCTCACTTTAAACTGCTGTATATTTGCTGTATGTATTTTCTTGCCTTTATCAATAAAGTTTCTCACTCTGAGGTTCAAGAGTCTCTTCATGATTTATTACGTTTATTATGTCGAGCGCCTCGTGGAGGAATACTAACTTTATGTAGATATTATTTAACAATACTGAGGCTACTGTTTTTCTATTTACAATAATAACTTCCACCTGAGAAAATACTGATTTGTGAACACATTATAATATACTTTGAGATCACAGTGAAATACATAAACACAACATATCGATCCTCCATTTCCTCCGACAGGGAATGATAAAGTCTTTAAATCGCTAGTGTGATTTGTCTCTGTGGTCTCGTCTGAGGAGCAACTCCTCCATCTAGTGGCTCACCCTGAACTCACATGTTATCAGGAGTTATTCACTCAGATCCAGTGATTGTTACTCAAGAAAGCCACTAGATGGCGCTGTGTTCAGTGTTATGTGACGAATACACTGTGCAACGAGTAATGAAGAATAAAAGCACATGTTGAAGTGTTCAGAGAAAATAAACGGACATGTTGAGACACTTTATTCAAATCACTGAACAAATCATGATATTCGGAGTGAACTATCAGGATATTTTCTCTTTTTCAGACCATTCTCTGTAAGTCAAGTCACCTTTATTTATATAGCGCTTTTTACAGTACAGACTGTTTCAAATCAGCTTTACAGAGATAACAGGAAAATAATACAGCAAAGTTTGGAAAAAACCATGACTTCATTGTCCAGCTAAGTGCAGTTCTCATATAATGGTGTCAATGCAGGCGGATCAATAACATTGTTGAATATTAAATAGCCAATGGTGAAAAAGACCAAAATCCATCAGTGACAGAATGGAGAAAACCTTGTGAGAAACCAGACTCAGTCGGGGCCAGTTCTCCTCAGCCAATGAACAAACAGTGTATGATTATGATTCAGGCAACATTATAGGCCAGAAGTCAGATTGGATCAGAACATTCAGAATATTATCCAGTTCATCTGGTTGAAGATCGGAGTCACGCTGGTCTGGAGCTCGAGTTTGTTGAGGATCAGTGTCGGCTGTCGTGTCGATGAGGGGAGAGTCTAGTTCACACAATCTCTGCTGACTCTTCAGGGATGCGTTGTGGTCGTGTCTAGGCTCAGGTCCACCATCTGATCTGGATACGGCCCGGATCCGGTAGATTACAGTAAACCTTTCAGCGGATCTAAACTATGCAGCCTAACATTGAGTTATAGAAGTCTATAATGTGTTTGTTAAGCCAAAGAGATGTGTTTTTACTCTAGATTTACAGTAAACTGACAGACTGTGTCTGCTTCCCGGAGTCGGACAATGCTATGAAGACTTCCAGAGTTTAAAGAGAGGAAAAGGATCTTCCACCAGCAGCCGATTTTGATATTTTAAGATTGCAATAGATGTGAAGGACTATAATGCGTATATAATGTGTATTTATGGTTGTGTGTGAAAATCCCAGTAAATTGGCAGTTTCAGAAAAACTCAGATCAGTCCGAAGTCGCCCCCTACACTCTTAGAAGAAAAGGCTCTATATAGATCCTTAAAAGGTTCTATCAGCGCTACGTGTTTGGAACCCCTAAAAGGTTCTATACACTCTTAAAAAAAGGGTTCCTCTGGATATATAACCCTGGGGTTCCATACTTGGACAATAGAACCTTTTACCAAAAAAATGGTTCTATCTATATAGAACCATTTTGGAGTTCCATATATGAAGTGGGGGATGGAACCATTTCTGGTTCTAAATAGAACCATTTCTTCTAAGAGTGTATGCGGCACTATTTGAGGGAACAGTACGGTGTACATTTTAGGACATCCTCAGATCTCAGTCATATGACTAAAAGGCATGGGGCGAAACGTCAGCTCTTTTACTCTCTTCATGAGTTCAGTTCTTGGAGAGTTGGGGAGGGGTGCGCCAGTGATTCTCTCAGCAGTCCGGACTATATCCGCTGTAGTCTTCTGAGGTCTGATTTGGTAGCTGAGATGATCCAGACAGTTATAGAAGTGCAGCGGATGCGTTCAGTGACGGCAGAGTAGAGCTGTATCAGCAGATCCTGTGGGAAGTTGAACTTCTTCAGCTGGCGAGGGAAAGTACAGTCTCTGCTGGGCCTTTTTTACAATGGAGTCAATGTGAGTGTCCCACTTCTTAAATAAGTGCTCTTGATGACCACTAGAGGAGTCTTCCCATTTCCCACAATCACTGTGGCATTTTATTAGTCATAGAATTTTGCTCTTAACTCAGTTATTAGTGATAATTAAATAAAATAATGTAAAATAAATAGGCTTATGAAGCTCAAATACCCAACAGCATTAGTTTGAGTTATGTGGGCGTTTTAGAGAACCGTTAGAGAAACTCTGAGATCAGTCTGAGAGGAGAAACAATCCAGACATTTGATGAGAAATGAAGAACAAACGTCCTGAAGAGAGTTACAGGAGAGAGCAGAGACAAACACTCTCAGGATCTCAAGACAAGATCAAACTGTTGCTTTAAGATATTTTTAACATGTTATTGAATGTCAGTTTATTTCTGTTGAATGTCATCATTGACTTACAGGAAGTTGAGGCGTACAGGAGCTCAAAGTGTGAAATAATCATCAGAAATAGAGTTTGACGTCACATGCATTAACACTTACAGATATTTTATCTGATTGTAGAGTTTCTCTTCACTTTACTCTACAGAGCAGCTTCACATCAGCACGTCTGTCATTTTATCAGTTTTGAAGAGTTTGTCTTTTCATATTTGTGGACTGAAACCGTTGAAGATGTTTCTCCCTGTTTTGCTCTGCTTGTGTTTCTGGCGTCTGGATGGTGAGTTTAATGTGTTTTTATGACTTCAGTTGTTTCTGTTCTGGTATCATGTAATAAATGTCTGGTTAGTTTAGTCGAGGAGGATCAACATTCACTGTTATTCTCATATAGAAATAATTAAACTATGATTTTACTGTCAGATCAAGTTTGAATTCAGCTCAAAACTCAGTTATTATGGATTGATTGTAAATATGAAGTTCAGATAATCAACAGCATTAGTTTTGGTGTGACATTAAACATTACAGTAAAAGTGTATTTTTATATTATACCATATAAAAATATATTTCTCTTTTCATTCATCATCTTTTATCTTTGCACTGCTGCAGAATATTATTAATTTCACATGTAAATGGTTAAAAGTATTTTAGTGAAGCTTCATCAAACCAAAAACAAGAGATTTTAAAGCTTTAATCTGTGAAAAACTCTGTTCTTCAGGAGGGGTTCCTGAGCTAGTGTCAGTATTTGAGGGAGATTCAATCTCTCTAGACTCTGGACTCTCTAAAATAAAGCGTAATGATGTGATTCAGTGGAAGTTTAGAGACACTTTAATAGCAGAAGTCAATAAACGGGCCGACAGATTCACTGTATATGATGATGTTCTTGATGGGAGATTCAGAGACAGACTGAAGCTGGACAAACAAACTGGATCTCTGACCATCACACACACCACAACTGAACATACTGGAGAATATAGACTACAGATCAACAGTGAGATCAGAGAGATTTTCTATCTCAATGTCTACGGTGGTGAGCCAAATATTTATGTCACTTGTTTTATAGTTTAATCCCCACAAATATACCATTAATAATTTAAACTGTTTTTTTTTTTTTGCTTTTGGAGTTTAATGATGATATTCTCAAATTTAATTTTCTAACTTCTTTAATAAACCATCAAGTGATTTTTTTAATTTGAGATGAACCCTGTTTCTGTCTGTTGTTGTTGTGTGTGTGTGTGTTTGGTGATTCAGTCCTGCTGTCAGTGATGGAGGGAGATTCAGTCTCTATAAACTCTGATTTCACTGAAATAAAGGATGATGATGTGATTCAGTGGAGGTTTGGAGATGGAAAGACTTTAATAGCAGAAATCTATAAACGGTTCGACAGATTCACTGTATATGATGATGTTCTTGATGGGAGATTCAGAGACAGACTGAAGCTGGACAATCAAACTGGATCTCTGACCATCACAAACACCACAACTGAACATGCTGGAGTTTATGAACTACAGATCAACAGTGAGAGACGGATATACATTGAGAGAAAGATTTTCAGACTCTCTGTCATTGGTGAGTTCAAAAATGTTTCCACCTGTTTTTTAAATTTAATTGGATTCATACACAATTTTGTTTTTCGTATTTTATAATGTTTATCTTTAATGTAAAATTTAAACCATTCAATTTAGTAAACCATTATAAAGTTATTCAACAGTATTAATCTGTGATAAACCCTGTTTCTGTTTGTTCTCTGTGTGTTTGACAGATGAAGTGAAGTCAGTGTCAGTGATGGAGGGAGATTCAGTCTCTCTAAACTCTAATCTCACTGAAATAAAGGATGATGATGTGATTCTGTGGAGGTTTGAAGATGGAAAGACTTCAATAGCAGAAATCGATAAACGCTTAGGCATATTCACTGTATATGATGATGTTCTTGATGGGAGATTCAGAGACAGACTGAAGCTGGACAAACAAACTGGATCTCTGACCATCACAAACATCACAACTGAACATGAAGGAGATTATAGACTAGTGATGGTTAAAGGAAGAAGATTCTCATCAAAAGTATTCAGAGTTTCTGTCTATAGTGAGTAGAGATCATTTTTCTTCTCTTTCAAATATTCTTATTTACTATTTATATATATTTACTATAATATAATATAGTAACGGGCAATCATAATAATTAAATCAAATATAAAAGATTTTTATCACCATCAAATAATATAACATCAACTTCTTCACAGTTAACAGGAATCACAGCTTTTCTCTGTAAATAATACTGAGTTCTCTGAATATTTGGGTCTCGGGACTCTTCTAAAATAGATGATTTTACAGGATGATTTCTTTGTCTCAGAGGAAACTTTAAAAAAAACACAAATACTATTTACATATTGAATTGTTAAATCGTTTATAATGTGAGATGACAGACCGTATAAAAATCTCACTTGGAACCAAATATATTATTGTTGATTAGATTTGATCATATTTCTGTGTATTCATAAATATTAGTTGATGTCAGCGCTGATATTAGTGTTTATTGACTGATCTAATGTCAGTTTGATGTGTTTATTCCTCAGACTCTGTCCACTGTTGTGGTCCTACTGAAGCTGTGATCCGATTGGTCCTCTCTGCTCTGGTGGGCGTGGCTACTGTCATCATTCTGGTTTATGACATCAGATCCAGAAGAGCTGAATGAGATCAAGCACATATTCACACATCAGGTGCATGATTGATGATGTCATTTCTCACAAACTGATTTGCCATATATATTTGTGAGGTTTATTAATTTTTGGCTTTATATATTTTTTTATACTTTTTTAGGAAGTACTGAAATCTAAAGCAGAACGCTGAACTTTAAAGGTTCTTCAAGTGTGTTAATTTTTCTTCTAGTGTTTTTTTTTATAATAAATACTGAATATTTGAGCTTCATTATTATAGCTTCATTATTTTACATAATTTTTTTTAAGTCTTTTTTGTTTATATTTCTCCCAAAAAAGTAAATGAAGAGACACAGATCTCACTTTAAACTGCTGTATATTTGCTGTATGTATTTTCTTGCCTTTATCAATAAAGTTTCTCACTCTGAGGTTCAAGAGTCTCTCTGTGTTTTATTACATTTATTATGTCGAGCGCCTCGTGGAGGAATACAGACTTTATGTATATTTTAAACATTTAAGAAGTTTGGAACATATAAAGCTTGACATTTTTTTAAAGCTGAAGTCTACAGTTTTTCCTCTTTGTCGCCATCTCTGTTCGAAATCTGCAATTGCAGTCATTCGCGGAATTATCAACTTTATCGAGTAGGGGGAGGCTGCAGACCTGGAGCCGGCAGTTTTAAGCATAGATATCATATAGAGACCAAGCGGCAACCTCCCCGTCTCTCTCTTGAAGCCAATACGGAAGTGAATTAAACTGCAATTCATCGAGTGGCCGCTTGAGGCAGGCTGCAGAAGCGAGTCAAATCTGTATCTCCCCCATGTTAAAATGCCCAACTTTACAGCAGAAAAAAACATGTTTACAGCCTGGAGCAAAAAGTGGCTTTGGTCTATTGAGCTCATTTTTTCCTTCATGACGACTGTGAGGGGGGTGAATATTTTTACAACTCATCTGTTTAAATTATATTTTAGCCTTAAATTTCTGCATAATTAAGGGCGTGGCCACTTGAGTGACAGGTGGATTCTTGCCGCCGCTTTCACTGCTAGTAGTTTGTCTGCTGTCTGTTAGCGTCACCCTCAGCTGTGTTTGTGCTTTTTCCGCGATTATTTCATACAATTTAATACATGTATTATACCTTCGCCTGTGCACGCCGTTGGATTCCGTCGTGTTGAGTATACACCTTATTCAGAGCAGCGCCATGACAGGTATGAAAGTGAGGCTGTGAGGGATAGACTTACCGTGTTTCCAATGGCATCCGCTGTAAAAAGCTGAATAAAACTGCTAGATACTTACAATTTTCCACAGCTTACATTGTCGGGAGTTTTTTGTCAACTGAAATTTCTTGGAAAGATATTTTTTCAGTGTTTTATGAGCAGAACAATCCGAAAACACATTAAATAACAGTACAGCCCATTGAAGAGATGCAAGTCTATCCCTCACAGCCTCGCTTTCATTCTCATTAAAAATCAAAGATGGCGCTGCCGTGAATAAGGCGTATGGAGAGATCGACCAGCGCCGTGTTTCCAGCTGTTTCCCTCGTACACTAATGGATGTCTGATGATTTCAGCGCGTTCTCTCCGTCCATGCAATAGATGCACACCCTTGAATGAGCGCGGATTTCTAGTTCATTTACTTGAAGTTCTGAAGTAATATCTTTGGTTTGACCCATCTGAGAAACTGAGAGGCGGCCAAAATCGGATTGTAAAATGAACTGAATTAAAGCTCTTTACGAACTTGACGTGAGATGCCGACTGACATGTGTGCTTGCCTTGAATCACTGTCACATGCACAAGCTTAGAGCAATATTGTAAGTAATTAATACATTTTTAACTAGCAGAATAATAATGCATCACGATGCACATAGTTGACTGCTTGTATGTTGTGAGGAATGTGTTTGATCTGTGTTAATGTATTTGTATACATGCTCTTAACTAATTTTGCCCCTTATGAGATTAATAAAGTTGATAAAAAAGTAAAGTAAATAGTCTCACTTTTAGTTACGTCTTAACTATTCTAATATTTCGAAGGGCAAAACATGAACTTTAACCATTGGCTTTACTTTTTCAATCAGCTGTCAATTCAGCGGCAGTAGCATAGCATTAGCACCTCAGCTCCACCCGCGTCCCGCCTCTTTGCCCATTTTAATTTATCCGGTAGTGACGAGAGGTGACGCACTGCCAAGATGGCGACGGCCGGCCCCGCCCACTTTAGTCTTCAAAAACGCTCTTCAGAAACCCATGGGTGACGTCACGGACACTACGTCCATATTTTTTACAGTCTATGATAGAGACTAGATACCCTATTGGCCGCTGGAAAACGAGAAATCCGGCCGCCATCTTGAACCGGTCGAATTCCTAGTCTCGTTGCGTGGCAGCAGATGCCAGAACACTGTGGAGCATTTTCCTGTTCTAATCGCCGGACCACCGAAAATAGAGCTTTTCACAAGTAAGTCTTAACATTACCGTACTATTGGTTGCATTTTGTGAATAGAATATTACCAGATAATCGAGAAGGAGCAAGGATATTTGCTATGACTGTACTGAAATCGTTGTGAAATTCTGTTTACTGCATCAGCCGGTGTTCACCCGGCATGGAGAGGTGGGGTAACTGTCACCGTCCCACAGGTGGGACGTTTGCCACTATATTTTTAAAACAATAATATCTTAGTAAATACCTTAAATAATATTGACAAACTATATATCATTTGAAAGCTTACAATCTCTAGTTTCCATATTTGGTGACTGATTTTCAAAATATATTACAGAGGAGCCATAATTTATCAATATAAAACAAGAATATTTTCATACTCATAAGGCGTGTTCAGACCTTTGTTTTAAAATAGCAGTAAACATGAAAAATCATGAAAAAATGGTAGATACCTCAGTTTGTTTTCATGCCAAAAGTTCAAAAGATAGAATCCATTCAATTATTTTGGAAAAAAAAGGTCTGAAAAGTTTAAAATATCAAGAAAAAAAGAATAAATTCAGCATTTGTGACGTGGCAGCTAGCTATGACTTACATGCATGTTCTTTGTATGTGTTTCTTAGAGGTTCAATTCATATCAAAATCTGCCAAACTTCCCATGCTACTTCTGAATAGGATCTCTACTTCAGAAATTGTATTAAAATTGTGAAAATAATGGTTCATATCACTCAAAACATGAATGGAAATGCAGACTCCCTTATATGGGCAGTAATGGAGTCTGATTGTGCCCTAGTGAAAAAGTTTGGTACTGCGCTCAAACAAAATCTTACTGAAAGCTCATTTTTTGAGATATCAACCTAAAATTTGAAACACAACTTGTTCAGATTTTTGGCTTTGATCTTTCTACCATTTTAGAGTAGCCCAGGTTTTGAAAATATATATTTTATGTAAAATATGAATAATTAATATTTTTACATTGTACATTTCCATAAACTCAAACTTCTATAACTTTTTTTCTGTTTCACTTTCTTAATTTATTTCACTTCTACAAAAATCTGCCAAATGTCTTCTTTAAAACAAGACCAATCATATGTCTATATTCCAAAGCATTCTTGAATTACAACCATTTAAGTTCGAAATGTGCATTTTCATGTCTATTCAAAAAAGGGGGGGTGACAGTTAACAGGTTAAAGTAATAATTACAAGAGCTTCTAGGTTGTCAGATAAGCATTCAACTGCCCTGTTGTATAGGTTATTTGTGTTTGCGCACATCAGGAAGCAACGTAATATACACGCATGACAGCGATGCGCAAATTGAGTTTTGAGTTACCTCTCCAACTTCTAGTTTTATTGATAACCTATATCTTACCACATGCGATTTGGCTATTGATATTACAGAAGTCCTGTGGTAAAATTACATTAACTTACTCCATCTACCCTTGTAAAGTTAATCCGAATATGGCTTAGTCTCGACATTTTCCCCTCCTACATCCACATACAATAAAATAAGGTATAGCCTTAATGTTGTCCGAATTTAATTTTTAGAAATTAACGTTACTGATGCAAACACGCTGAAAAGCTTCTTCTCAATTTTTATTACAGGTGGCTGCGTTCTGTGTGTGTGAAAGTGTGTGTGTGTGTGTGTGTGAGAGAGAGAGAGAGAGAGAGAGAGAGAGAGAGAGAGAGAGAGAGAGAGAGAGAGAGAGAGAGTGAGAGAGAGAGAGAGAGAGAGAGAGACAGCGAGAAAGAGAGTGTGTGTCTGTTCGTGTGTATGTATGTGCGTGTGTCAATCATAAACTGTTTCTTCAACTTATTAAAATATCTTACTTTACTGCTAGTATCTGTTTCTGCTTCTTTATTATATTTATAGTGTGTGATTTATAAAATACACTATATCCTTCATCACATATATTGTGTCTGGTCACTTTATATCTTATATCAGAATATTATATTACTGTTAACCTACAATGGATATTAAAATACGCCGAACCATGTGTCCTGTATCATAGCTACATGAATGACCTTTGCAGCAAAAAAAAAAACCGCGTGAAAATCAGTTAAGTATTCAGTGAGATATGATTAATTTAATGCGCTGACAGCTCATTTCACCTGAGCGGAGCGGATGACCGGTTTAAGATGGCGGCTCCAATTCTCGTCCGTGCCAATAGGTAGTAGCGGTCGATAGGGCGTCTACCTATATGATGTCTATGGTTTTAAGCCCCTGACAGTTTTAAGCCCCTGTTGTTCCTGATGCGTCCAGTAGGGGGAGACTACACTAATGACGTTATATGAGCCTAGTCCTATTTCATTACAGATCGAAGCGACATGAATTGAGGTATTTTAAATAATCTGCTAAAGTTATTATTGTTGATTGAATTGTAATGATACAATATTGATTATTTCTAAACGAAAGCTAAGATTCAATATCAATTCAAAAGATAGGTCTATAATTTACAGTTTTTTACAATCACTTTGCTACTATTTTCAGAACCTTGATGTCATTTTTCAAAACTCTAGACACAAAACTCAAAACGGTTATCACTTGTAACACAGGCTGTCTAATGTTCAAAACATTGCATAGTGCATTCACATCTTTAAAGAAATCTTGCACTTGCACAATCATTGGTTCAAAAAACAAATTTACTGTGAAATAGGCCTAAACAAAACTATCACCCACACACAAGCAACCGATAGTTTCACTGTCATTTTTCGTACAATCATTAAATGTTGTAGAACAAAATAGGTGATACAGGTTTCATTATGGCACTACATGTACAGTAAAC